CTGTGTCTGTCTGGCTCTTTTATCTAGATGTCAGCATGACTTGTGCTTTCTTATCAGGCAGGACTCAGCTAAAATGTCACCTTTTCAGAGTTTCATCTGAAGTGAAATAATTCCCTCACTTACCTTGTAGCACGGGATCCTGCTATTTTTCTCTTCTTGGTGTTTTCTTGCATCTTTATTTGTGTGTTTTTTTTGTTTGCTATTTCAAGTTGATAGAATATAAGTCCCATTTGGGCAGAGTGGACTTTAATAATCTTTTGCAAAGCAGTATCCCAGCACATAATGGTGATTATAATCTGCTAGTCTGGTACTCTGCTAGGTAGTAGGAATGCAATCACGAACTTGAACTGACGCTCTTTATTGTTATTTAAAATAAAATTAGTATATTTAGATAACTTGCTACTCAGTCATTTATTCAAGGAATATTTATTGAGCACTTACTATATTCCTGGGGATACAGGAGTGAACAACATAGAAACTGCCCCTGATCTTCTGAAGTTGACATTCCAGAAAGGAAGCAAAAAAGAAAACAACAGATAAACAGACATGAAATACAATGAGTGGAGAGGATGAGTCATCTTGCTCTGCAGATGAAGAGCATCTGGAGGGGAAGAAGAAATGAGGAGGCCCTGAGTTAGGAATATACTTGGCAAGTCCAAGGAGCAGCAAGGAGCCCGCTGTGGCTGGCACAGCTTGAGTGAGGGAGAAAGCTGGGTGGGGTGGGGTGTTGAGAACAGTGATGCAGTCCAGGGCCCATCTTGTGTGGGTTTGGGTTTTATTCTAATTGTGATGGGAATCCATTAGAGGGTTCAAAGCCCGGGAGTGACATAATCTTTTACTGCACTGCGAATTGCTTTATGAACTATTTCCTTCTCAGCTCCTTAGAGAATTGGCTGAGAATACAGTGATTCTCAAGAAACTTGAAATTTCTGGCTGATACTTCTTATACATCAGGTTCTGTGCTGGTAGCTAGAAATCCTGGAATGTGTTCCCAGATTTGCACATTCCTTCTTGAAGGGCCTTGGCTAGGCCACTCTTTCTGGCTTAACACTACCTCTTCACACTCATGTATTCAAGAAAGTATGAAGAGAGGAGAGGAAAGGGAACAGAGCACTTACAGGAACTCCCTGGCTCTCTGAAGCCTCAAGTAGGACTATAGTGTAAATAAATTAGCATGCACAAGGAGTCTAGGTCCTTCCCATAATTTGAAAAACAGCTCAAACCAGTAAGATCTCCTTTGGAATATTTTCTGAAGGTTTAATGATTAGCGGAGGCAAAATTAGAGATCAACATGAGTTTGTGCGAAGCAAAACAATCCCTGGGCTTTGTTTAACCCATAGGCCCTTGAATGACCCCTAAAAGTAGCTTATTTAAAAAATATTCTGACTTCCTCAACTTTCGGAATCAACGAGGGTGTTAATAACTAAGAAAATTGCTGGGAGGTCAGGAAAGGACACTTTAATGCCTGACCCTAAATGGAGAAAGGAGCCAAAACAGAATTCTAGGAGAAATGGTGTATTCTGTGTCTGGTTTCTGGAAGGACTGCATGTGGATATTACATTCTTACTGACGTGCACTTGTATTTGATACTGTGGAAATTGGGGTGGTCCATTCATATGGTATGACAGTGAGGAAAATGCAGTCGGGCCATTGCCCTTTCGCTTGGGGAATTATGGGTTAGGCATTCAGCCACAGGTTTCCTGTGATATCCGTTTCTTTTGTTTTCTTCTCACATTAAGGGCAAACCAGGTCTTCCAAGTGCTCAAGAGAAACCTAAAATAGATTGCTGTGTGGTTAAAAAAAAATTCATTCAAGCCAGAGTGTGAGTTATTTTCTACCTGAGTGTATTTGAGATACGTATTTTTGCTTCTTACAAAGGCGTGAATTGGAGGTTTGGGATTTCCTCATAAATGACCTTTTACAATGACTTCCTGTTATTTTATGTTTCCCTGAGAACCAAAATAGCTATGCAGTACATTCCCACTGTGTGAGGTTGAATAAATCTTTCTAATTTGGAATTAGTCACTTGTGCGATCCTAATTAGCATTATGAGTAAAATGTCTGTTTATTTCTGACCAGTCATGGGACAAGCCTGTGTTAAATTCAGTGTAACATTTTGTTGACTCCTTCAGTTGGAGAAGCTGGTGCCTGATACAAGGATTAAACATCTCCACCCAATTCTATTTTTTTTTATTTTTTTACTTTTTTTCTCCTGTATTGGTGGCCTCTACTCACTTTTCTACCTCCTATAATCACTGTTAACTTAGAGCCTAATCACGTTCAGTAGTTAATATGTACCTTATAAACTTACCAAACAAAGGACTGATTCAGAGACAACTCACAGGAAAGCAGGTTGGCATTTAAACTTTAAACATAAAAAGCAAACAGCCAGGCAAATACCCAGCACAAGGATCTTGGGCTGGTGATTACAAAGCCCTGTTTTGTATTCTTCATTCTCTTGTTAAGTACTGTAGTCTGTATGTGGGCACAAGTCCTGATTTAGAGAGAAGTAAAATATGATTGACCTCTGAGAAATCAACTGGTAAAAATCTATAGGAATGAACCAAGAGATCAATCATGTGTAAATGAAGAATTTGAGCAGCATCTAAAATGCAATTAAAATGTGACCTGGGAAGTAGGACTGAATTGTAATTACAATCTGGTAAATGGAAACCTAGTCAATTATCACATACCCTTGTCTGGAGATAGGCTGCGATCACAGAGGGGGCAGGGGCTGAATAGAGTTTAGAGATAGCAAACTCAAGAAGAAAGACTTTGGTGGTGTGTCAGAGCAATATTCAGGGAGAAGATGCTAAGACCCCTGAGAGCTTCATCTGGAGGGTTTGCCTGTTGGATCTCTGGGATGGTTCCAGGCTCTTCAGCCTATCAAATCTTGGAAACACATCCACTGACTTTTTTACTGAATTTATCCCCCAAAACACCATCTGTGTATGCTCTGGCTTCTGTGCCACTTTTTTTACAGGGAGAGAGGATTTTCTGATCAGCTAGTACCTTATGCTGGATGATTTGATAGGTGCATTTCTCATGATAAACTAAGAAATTGACATTCTGTTTCCTGTGAGAGCATTTAAGATGAATCTTTCCTAAGAAGCAGATGACCCAGGAAAGGCTGGCAAAGCTGAGCTTCAGGGGCTGCCAAGCCAGGGACCTGATCCTGGTCCCTGCCCAGCTGCTGGCCTCTTTCTCAACTTGCTGTCAGTTTCAAAGAAGTATAAACACTGTAGTGAGGCATAATGAGAATTCTTGGGCATTGCTAATCTGCCATGGTCATAAATTTCATTTTTAATCACTGAACCATTTTGCTTCAGTTTTTACTTATATACACATAACAAAATAGATTTTAGATTATGGTGATCTAAAGTCTATTTTTCTCATGCACATTTTTATACATTTCCTTATGTGACCTATGTGACTAGTAATTTTATGTCCAGGTGCAAATCATAAATAGCTTGGAATAAAAATGTCTATAGAAGAAGAATATTGGATATTGAATATTCATTCACCATAAAGAGTGTATTGCTACTTCACAATGACAATTCTAAGCCACACTTTATTTTGGAGCTGGAATTAATACTATAAGTAGAGATTATTGTTTTTTCTTTGTTCTGCAAATAAAGGAGAGGGATCATTCTCATACCAGATGCTTCCCATCTCCAGTGGGAATACCCAAAGGTTTCTGTGATCCAGGCTCCATACGTATGAAGGGTAGGAAGCATAGAACATTGGGCTCATTAAAAGCAGAAGCATGTTCATTTTGGGAAGGCTGGAATTGGACTAGAGCACAATAAGAGCTCTTGTGAAAGAGACCATAAAATCCATAAGCGAGCAACTCCAACTTTCCAAAACTAAGAAAAAGGGTTTTTCAAAATAAGAAATGCTAAAAAATACAAGAACATTCTCTTTAATTGTTTAGAGTGTATTACCCCACGCCCTTATGTACCCATCCCTAAGCACAGACATAAGGAAGAGAAATTTCAGCATCTTTTTAAATTGTTGCACCTAACCTTTGAGAAAATGAATTGATTATTCACAATGTCATTTAAAAAACTGTACCCTGTAGAATGACAGTGGTAATGGGAGAATACATAAGATATGAGAGAAAAGAATCTTTCCTCCACAACACAGATTTGCTTTTTCACTACTTACTCCATTGACAAGTATAGTTGATTACCAGATTTTGGAAACAAAAATGCAAAGAGGAAGTCATTTTTACAGTGTCAGCTGCTGAAGGTAGGGATTATCTTGTTTTGTAAAGTTTTGTGTCTCCAGCACCTAGTATCATGCCAGAATGTAGTGGGCATTCAACACATTTGTTGGATAAATTTTTGAGTATATCTTATGGAGGGAAAAATGTTACCATGATGAAAATATGAACTATTTATCTATGCTTGCTTTCTGGTTCAAGTCCCAAATGTAGGGCCTGGTTTGCCTGATAACCTAGAGAAAATGCCATATTTTATTTAGGGCATCTGATGTCCCATTCATATACTTTCCTCCACCCTGAGCATAAGGAATCTCTTTCTCTCTCTTTTCCCTGCCAGCGTTCCTGTACTATTATCAAACCTAGTTCAATGATGGGTGACTCAGGGAGGGTTTTGATGATTAGTCATATTTGAAAACTTATCCTGCTTTACCCTGGGGAATCCCTGCGAGTAATAATAATTGGCATGATGGCAGCATTAGGAAAACTTTCTCTAAATTTATTGAGACTTTCTTCTCTTTCCCTCAGTTGTCACTTCTTGTTATGATATCCCACTCTCCACTGCCTCTCCTTCCTGGCCTGGTGTTTCATGGGGTCTACTCTAAGATGTATTACTGATATTCCCCAGCCCCTTCTCCTCCACTGCTAAAATATCTGTTATATGACAACATCTCAAGATCTAAGATGGCAAATGACTCATGCTCATGCTGCATAACTTGAGACATAGTTGATGCCAGTAGACAGAATACTGATATGATACATGTGACCTCATTTCTAGAAGGAGATCTGCCACTAACAAGTTTTGTGGACCGGCTACTCAATCTCCTTGGGCTGTACTTTTTCATGTATAAAATATGGAATTTTGTCTGGATCAGTGTTTCTGTAAGTATGCATATATGTTCTATAACACTGGTTCTGGATATGTTCTGGGATCATGTTCATTTGGGAATTGCTGCATATCACTTTTTTGAATATCAAAAAGTTAAAGGCTCTGACAAGTCTTGAAATAAAGAAACAATTTTTAATCTAATAATTGACTTTTTAGTGGGTTGGGGGAGCATGTTGGTAGTTCCTTAGAGAACCTTATGAGGAAATAACTAGTTGAACTTTACCGGGAGCTTAACTGGAATTGTGCATCCCTTTGTCTCCAATGGCAGCTGTTCCAGGGAGCTTAACTGGAATTGTGCATCCCTTTATCTCCAATGGCAACTGCTGTGGGTACAGACAATAGGCCAAGATCTCTGCCTTTTGGGTAAAAGGGTCAAATAGGGAGAGATACGAATACATGTGGGATAGGACGGCAACTGTAGACTAAAGGTTTGTTTTCACATCATAATGGGCATAAGGACTGACAAGCAAGTAGGTCACCCAGACTAGGGCAGTGGTTGAGGAAGGGAAATGTATCACAAGGGATGTTTGCAATAATTTACCAGGTAGAGAAGATGGGAAAGGATATTCCAGGTGGAAGGAACAAAGTGGCACAGAGGCATAAAATCCCAAGGTATGTTCTAGGCCTGTGAAATAATTCTGTGGTTAGGGAGCCCAGGCGTGGAGGCTGCCTAGGGAGAGAGGGGAGGGAGAAAGTTCTGGAAGATGGGTGGAGGTTTGCCTGCCATGTGCTTTAAGTGCCATTCTAAGGCGTCTGAAATTTATCTTGTTGGTAACAGGCAACCATCCTTAGATTGATTTTTAATCAGGAGAATTACCTGATCAATAAGAATTTAGAAAGAGAATTCTAGAGTGCTAAGGCAGAGAGGAGGGGGAAGAGACTGGCAGGGAAACGAATTAAGATTCTGTTCAAACGGCTCAAGTAAGAAATGACAAAGGGCTGAATAATGACAGTGGCAAAAGGATGAGATGGTGGAAATTTAGGAGCTCCATAGACCATGATGAGTGATTGGATATGAGGCAAGAAAGAAAGAGAAATACAAAATAACTGTATCGTATTCAGCTTGGGCAATTCTTATGTGATTATAACATTTACTGGGGTAGGAATTTAAAGGACTGAACTGTTTCACACGTTTTGAATTGTACTGGGGGTTTCTCTTACACACAGCCATTTTACTGTAAAATGACATCCACTGATTTTTGTGTTTCAGAGTTCAAGAATGATTTAACTATAAAGACTATAAAGTCTATAAAGACTATAAAGTATTCTTTTTAAGGAGTTTCAGCATCCACCAAAAAAATCTATTCCACACTGAAATTTAGTAAGGACTCAATATATTCTTGTCAAAAAGCAGCATTTAAAAATGTAGATGTCTCCTGATTTTGTCTTTAAATGATAAATAATCATTCTTGGGACTATAAATCCTTTTGTTTTTTCATTCAGTCTAAAACTCTTCTTTCAGCCACAGATTATTCTATATACACTAATATGTCAGTAGACATTTGTGAAATTATTTTCATTTCCTAGAAGGAAACAGCACAGAACACTGACAATTTTAGTGATGATTTAAATATCAAGCCATTATTTTTAGAATAAATCCTAAATTTAGCCTTAATACTAAATAATATTGCTGATAATGCATTAAAAATGTATTGTGTCTATAGTCAGGGAGTGATTTTTTTGTCAAAAACATCTTTGTATGCCAGTGAAAAATCAGAAAAATATTTTTCTTTTGGAAGAAGTCCATGTTTGCTTATTGTATAGAATTTAAGAAAGATTTTAGAGGCTTATTTTCCCAAGAACCCTTTGAAGTAAAAAGCTTCTTATATTTATGGGAGAAGAACTCCCTTTGAGAGGCAGGATGTGGAAACTAGCATGACCCAGGTTGTTTACACAAAATAGTCCACACCTCCCTGATTAAGTCAGGAGATTTTGCCTTTACCTGGGACAGCTGCCTTCTATTAGCACTGGAAACAAATTGTACAATCTCTGGTCACTGATCCGTGACAACCTTCCCATTTTGAATTTTGTGCCCAAGAGGACAGAAGAATCCAGAAACTGGGTTGGTAGAGAGGAGCTGTTCCTAGACACAATTTATCAGAGGAAGGAAAGTACAGGGTCCACCTTAAAAGCAAATCAAGCTATCAAAAATGCTACACATTATAAAATGAACACAATAGGTACAGTCAGAGGTTGACTTCTGAGATTTTTTTCCTTTTACCTCATAAAGAAATAAAGATAAAAACTGAATGGTCTGGTCCTGTCAAGATAAGCAAGGCTGCCTCTTCCTCTTTTCTTCCTGCAACTGTGGTGCATTTAAGGCAGCTCCAGAATTGTTTTGAAATAAATTTTGAAGTTTTAGAAGGCAGATACATGTAATGATTGTTTCACTGTTCTGAGGTTAATGACAAAAGGTTATAATGTCTGAGCCTTGAGATTTTGCAGATCTCTAAATGCATTTTATTGCATTTGGAAGAAATTTTATATTCTTGAGAAAGTGCAATGCATAAATGAGTTGAGACACAATGACCCTTTACCTCAGAGCAAAACAGACTTATTCCCCTTAGTGGAAATAGAAGGCAGGGAAGTAAGGCTGTGGTTCCTGAAATTCACCAACCTAGTATCGCTGTGCCATTCTCTGCTCTGATCCAGCGCCACTCCCTGCACTTGATATCTGTTTACTTTAGAGGAGGCAGTTTTTGAGAAAGGATCATAAATAACCTGGCCCAGTGCCCCAGGAGCCATGACAAGCAAAAGAACATACTCGCCTGGGGATAGGCTTTCTGATATTTAAATGTGTGGGTTAATTTTTTATCCACTTTAATAACTGGGTTTTTTTTTTTTTTTTTTCCCTCTCTACTTCTTTGCTGTTTCTGCTCTGAAGCCGTGGGCACAGAAATTTCTGCAGGCAAATTACTCCAGAGCATATTGCAGGACAACTAGAACGAACAGTTGAATTCACAGCATCTGGATTCCTGATCCTTTTCCGAAATGGCAGGTGTGAGTGGCTGTATAAAATATTCTATGTTTATCTTCAACTTCTTGTTCTGGGTAAGTGTTTTTCTTTAAATTATCAATTTTATGCAAGAAAGGGGATCTTGATATAAATATCATAAACAAGAACAGACTCTGCACTAGAGAAATAAGAGAAGGAGGGAAATGTATTTTCCATTTACTTGTTTGGATTTGTTTGTTCTTTCTTTAGTTATTTCAGTAATTGAAAATGAGCCAATGACTCAAAAAAGTACACTTCAGAATCTGGGAGGATAAACATTTCATAAATGTTTTGATATTGCTGCAAAAACAATCAAAGAGGAAAACATACCCCTTAATTAAAGAACAATTATCCTTAGTTGTATATCGAGCAGGCCTCCCCAGCCTAAGGACCCTGTGGGAGAAATATGGCCTGATTCCAACCGGAGCCCAGTCCCTGCCTCCTGCCTCTGTCGTCTGGGTTTGAAACAGGTGAATCTCAGAGTCTGAGATGATAAAGACATGGGAAGAGGATCATTTTCAAAGCCACAACTAAAAAACAATGAGTCATGAAAAACTTGAGAAGGAAACAATAAAATTACTTGATCATAAGAAAATTAAACTAAACCAGTGGATATGTATTAGCATTTTAAAGTCAGTATTTTGATGTGTCATCACCCCACCTTTTAGTCAACGGGGTTTGTATTTTAGCAAGTTGTTCTTTTTCTCTTGAAAGTCCACTGACACAGACATAATCAACAAATTGATAGGTAACATCTAGCATTGGAAAATGGAAAAACAAGGTGTGAAAAGGGCAGGATAGAATGTTGGGAAATTCACCTTATCATTTTACATATATATGGTGCAATTAAAGACTGAGTTTCAGTAGAAATAGCTCAAAACACTTAAATGAAAAAAAGTATTTGTATATTGTATTTAAAAAATAGCTTATGCAGTACAAGAAAGAAAGAACTCTGGTTTTGTGTTTGTACCTGGTTGCCTTTAGTAAACAGAAAACTGGTAAAATATCTATGTTTTAGTAAATTTCTGTTCTATTAAAATAATGATGGACTTAAATACATAGTACAGTTTTATTTTAGAGAATGACTTTCCATTCAATAGTCAGTGGCCCTAATGAATGCAGATAATATGTGGGTGAATTAACTAAGTAGATATACAAATAAATAAAGAGCTGTTCTTTGTACTTTCCTTTTCCCTAGAAAAATGGGCTGCTTTTGCAAATATTAAATAAAGCTCATGCATGTAGGCCAGTATTTTAAGTTAGTCCTCATAAATTTCTTCTCTTGAAATATTTAAATTGGTTAAACATCTTGAGTAGAATATAAAGAAAGAAATGCCTGTGTTCTTTAGTTTGATTTTATTTCTAGCTTTACATTAGAGAGTACTTCAAACATTCATAAAATAACACAGGATAGGGTAATCAACCCCATCAACTAGCCCCAACAGCCACAAAAACATGGCCAATCTTTCTCCTTCCAGACCCTTGTTCACTTCCTCCACACCACATTACTTTGAAGCACATCCCAGATATATCATTTCATTGTAAAGAGTTTAGTGTGTATCTCTGGAAGATAATAATTCTTTTATAATATGTAACCACAATATCATTATCACACTTAAAAACTCAAGAATTTATTAATCAATTATCAAATATCCACCTAGGGTTCAAATTTCCAATTACCTCATAAAGGTTCCTGGTTGAATCAGGATCCAAATAAGGTCCACATACTGGGATTGATTCACATACCTTTTATGTCAATTTTAATCTGTAGTTTCTCCCTCACTCTTCATTTCTTTGTCTCCCATTAAAATTTTATGTACTAGTGCATATTGTTTGTCTTATCCCATTGCCTGAAATCTGGATTTTGCTATCTGCACACCCAGGGTATAGTTTAACATGTTCCCCTGTCCTCTTTATTATCTGTAAATTAGTAGTTGCATCTGGCAGCATGATATCATTCAAGGTTTTGTTTTTGTTCTGTTTTGTTTTGTTTTGGTTTTATTTTTTGGCACAACTACTTCTTAAGTGATATTTTACTCTTTTATCAGGGGGCACATGATGTCTGATTGTGTCATTATTTGTGATGTTAGTAGCCATTGACGCTTAAGTACCTGTATCCATTATTCATTATTTCATTAAGAGGTTCAAATGGTGAATTCTAGTTCTATGAACTTTTCTTCATTTATTAGCTGGAATACTTTCAATAAGGAAAAAAAAATGGCTCATTTATTGTTTGGTTGCCATGGTACGTAGTTTTTATTTTTTAAAAAGTAGTATAAATACTTGAACTCTTTACTAACCAGATTTCAAAATGAGTTAACTTTCTAGTATTATCCAACAGTGATAGACTAGTATTTAAAAAATGCTAGATAAACTCCATTATAATTTTACCCTTGTTGCTTTGTGATTTATTCCATCTTTGGCTAGTAGGAGCTTAATTTGGTGCCTGAGTCCTTTTGACATGATCCTACTAACTTTCATAAACCCATCACTATTTGGTATGACAAGATGTTTCAGGCTCACTTGCCTATTTCCTGCCCAGACCTGGAATCAGCTATTTCTCTAAGAAGACTTGATACCCTGTCTTTAAAGAACTGTAGCCATTGTCATCTTTATATGATGCAGAATATATGGCCCATTTAAACATACTTTTAACATGTTAATAAATGCATGGCTCCTATTTTATTAAGATGTTTCCAAATACCCAAACCAATAGCAATCTTCAAATTATGAAGTTAAAATATATCTTTCTTAAATAAAAACATCATGGGAAGTGCTAATAGCTATTCGTGAATAAATCGGAGATTAGTGTTTCATAAACTAGCTAATCAGTAACAGAACTGAATTTTAAACCCAAATGATAAAGACAGTCTAGGAGAGAGGTAAGTTATAGATTCAGGATTATATATTTAAGATTAAGGTTCAAGGCAGTGTGTAGAGATCTGTACCATCCTAGACCCTGGTATTATCATTGCTTTCCTGGGAAGGTCTGATAATTTTACAGTTATTGTTATCTATTTGTTTTTCTCATAACCCAGATGTCAGTTAGATATTTCTAACTTCTCTCAGGAATTCCTCCCGTCAGCATATGTGTTGAGACCTACAATCTCTGTATAAGAGATCTTGAAATGGAGTTTCAGTGAGAGCAATAGTTGTAAAGACCAGTGATAACTTAGCCAACAGGTGACATCAATATTTTAAATCAAAATCTAGGCAACAAGAGCCTCTGGGGTTAGGAAATGTACACACCTATTTATATTCTCCCATCTACCCCCAACCTAGAGCTCTCAGTTGGAATTTTACTATCCTTCATAGGAAATTAGCAATTTGTCACATTTCTAATGTTTACTTAAGTAAAAATTTTTACAGTCCCACTGATGTGGTTTTCTTGTAGATGCCCAAGGCCGTAGATGTTTTCAAATGCATTCTTTTCGGTGTAACTTGTGAAACTAAGCCTTTGCAAAGTAGGGCCAGATGTTGAAATATTTCTAAGATATGCATATGGTCATTTAATCTAAACATACCAGTTTCGTTTGGGGAAGAACTTGAGATATGCCACATAAATATGCAGTGATTTCCATTTGTTTGAAATACTAATTGAAGAAAAACATGTGAAAGTGAAAATCATTCCTAATCACTCATGCTAGAGTTTGATGCAAATTAGAAAATTGGAGGTGCTATAGATAATAGATACATTATAAGTACAGAACCTATTTCCCTGAGTCTTGAGTCAAAAACAGATGAAGTCTCCTTTTTATATGCTACTCTCAGATAAATCAGGACTGGGAATATTGTAGGTGCTTGAGGTGTCTTAGGGGTCTGAGTAAGCATGGAACATGGGGCCTTTGGCCAGTGGATGCAGAAAATGGTGATCAGAGACAGAGAGCTACGGAGAGCCTAGCTCTTAATGAGGGAAAGCAGAATGAGGTCCATTACTAATCCCAAAGGTGAGAAGAAAGTGCCAAATTATAAATCCAGTATCTGTAACTGAAGAAAGCCAATGCATAAGGAGGTTTGAAAAGAGTAGAAGGAAGTCAGAACTTGGAGAGAGTCCAGGAACCAGCGTTTCAGTGTTTGTCATTGTATTTTACGTGGTGTCTGAGCCTTTAGATTGGATGTGCTGAAAGCAGTTAAAAGATTCGAGGCAAAGCAAATTAACTCCGAGATAGGAGTACATTAAAAAGAACAGGACAAAGTTATATTTTATTTTCTCAGTTGATGAAATCCCACCAAGATAAAGAGTTAACAATGGCTGAAATGTATCAACTTTGTAAATACAGTGGTTGCCAGCCACTATGCACTCATGATAGAATTATAACAGTGACAAAGGCATTAGATTAGATTCCATGGTTAAGAGCTCAGGGTGGACATTAGCTCCTTCATCACTATCTGTGCTTGCTTGGGGGAAATTAGTTAACCTCTTTGTGCTTTATTAGGGGACCTCATCTGTAAAAATGGGAATAGTAGTAGCATCTACTTCATGGGGTTGTTGTGATGGTTAAATGAGTTAATATACATAAGGAACTCAGAATGACACAAAATAAATGTTTAAGAAAGTGACATTTTAATTTCAACCAATATTGTATAGGCAGTTTTATGAGACAGAAATATGAAACTATTCTGCATAGTAATGAATAAATTTCAATGTTGGATTTTAAACAGAGGAGAAAATAAGATGGCAAGAACAATGAAAAATTCTCCTTTCATAAATTAAAGGAATAGGAAAAAAAGTAGATTTTGTAAACGAACACTGAGATTCAAATCCTGAATCCTACCCCTTACTGCTTTGTGACCTGGAACATGTTCCTTGCCTTTTCTGTGCTCTAGTTTCCATATTTGTAAAATGACAATGATAATTTTATCTGGCAGGGTTAATTGTAAAGATTACCTAAGATACTTTATGAAAGCTTATAACCAAGTACTGACATGACAATAATAGTTCAATTAATGCTATTTTTCCTGATTCCATCATCACATTGCTTTTTCATTTAAAAGTTTTCAAATCTGGTGTGATAGTATTTTATATATAATGTACTTTTAAAAATTAAATACTGGT